GATACACGTTATGTTTTAAATACAGTGTGCATCAAAAAAGTGAAAAAAGAACGAATTATTTTGAAAACAACCAACGTTTTTTTGTCCCAATAAAATCCTAAAAAAAATAAGATTGCATAGTGGCGGGAAGGCGTGATGTGGAAAAAAAGCGTCTATTCAATCGCAGCTCTTGAGTATAAAACAAATTGATCCAAAATGTTAAATGGATCTAGGAAGTTCAAAATTCTCATGAATTTAATATCACCTCGTAGAACTATATTTAAAAGTTGTCACTGGAAGTTGCAATAAGAAGCAAAAACCAATGTGAGTCTTAACGACGGAAAAAAGACTGAGGCGAAATCGTATAAAGCGTGAAAGAAGAAGCTAGAACAACAAGTAACTGTTATTTTTTGATGAATTGGGAAATAGTGGGATAAATTTTGCTACAAAAAATGACTTGAAAGTTAGGTACGTAACTGAGATTGTCAAAAACTGATTAGACGCGAGAACTTTAAAAGGTTTTAAAATTTTTCGGAGAAATGCCGGAAGATATTTTTTATGAAAAAAGAGTTTTTTCTTGCTCGGAGAAGTCTCAAATACAACACCGGTTTAGACCACCGAAAAAAAAAAAAAAAGCAGTTGCAGGCTTAGTGATAGCATTTTTGGTGCTGCGAAAACTAGACTAGGTTAATGCCTTTCTACTGCACAGTTCCTAAAATTAGTAATTCTGATTCATCACCAACAAATCTCCTATTTTATTCTAGTTCCAAAGACAGCAGATGGACTATTTAATAGAACTTTTCTTTTCATTACAGCGTAAACTTGATGTATTATAAAAGAAAAATTTTTTAAGTTTTTTCTTCAGTTCGATTTCTAGCTTGACCTTAACACCCGAATTTCCTGGAACAAAATAGTGAATTTAACTGTTAATTTATAACAGAGAGAATGTTTATTTTGCGCACATGACGACAATCACAATTTTAAAATGTTTTCCCAAAAAAAAAAGAATAGCTTGAATTTTTATAGACAATACCATATAATCTATTTCAAAAATTTCAGGGAAAAAACTATAAGCTTTATCTACGGTTAAAAACAAATTTATTAAAACTTATGACCTTTAAAGCTTTCCGAAGAAGCAAACAGGGTTTACAAAATTTAAAATTTTGAGAGAAGTCAACTTTTACAGATGGATTAACTAGCTGAAGGTATCAATTGTAGCATCCTGTTATCAAAGCTTTTAGTTGTTCTTTGAACTTCGGCTACATTTTCAATTAAGGTTATCAGTATGGCTCTTAAATAATAAAACTGCTTAAAAATTTACATAAAACAAACGTGCATTCAATTTACGAACTATTTGCACTCGTCGAGTATGTTAATTCAAGTACTTAAAAAGTGGGATAAAATTTTATTAAATACATTTCAAAACAGCTGTTTAAAAGAAGAGGTGGAAAAATTGGGAGTTTTGAGTGATGGTGTAGTAAAAGTAACAAAGGTGTTAAAGTTGAGAACTGTGTTTGCACTTATAGCATGTTAATAAATACTTTGAGATCAAACGATTATTTTATGAAACTGTTTTATTTCCTATCATAACAAAAATTAAACAAATAAAAGCAAAAAAAGAAGTTTAGGAAAAAAAGAAGAATCAGTTGCTGTATCGTTTTGTACGTGGCACCTTTTTGATTGATTTAAACAATAAGCTTTTTTGCTAAACGAAATTGGAATACTAAGCAAGGGTGATCTTTGTCTAGATGCTTTTACGCTACAAACTCATTGTTTTTGACATGATTATCAAAAGAGGCCTGAAAAGTTGGCAAAAAAAAAATGATAAATAAAAGACGGGAACAAAAAAAAAAGCAGCTAATCTTTGTTTTTTATCTTTTAAAATATCACAAATGCTTAGAGACTAACAAATTTGTAAAACAGAAAGCAGAGGTCTATTGTCTGTAAATAATTTTAATCAGTTTTCTGTTGTCTATTCAATTGAATTTTTGATCGAATAAGTGCAGTCGTATTTAGTTTTATAGACATTCTTGTATATAATTTCTGCTTTAGCGCCATTCTACCTCTGACTTTTTCTTTACCTGTAAATACAGCTGGCTTTAGCTAAGTATCTGTAAATTAATCTGTACCCTACTTGGTACATTTAACGAGAATAATAATTCTAGTAAAATTCCCCATTAATAACTTATTCTTCTTTTTAGTGCTTAAATCGTTACTTTATCAGAGTTTTTCTCATAAAAAAGAAAATGTTTATCAAAAACATAAACCAAAAAGTTTTGATAATTAAAAAAGTTTAAATTTGAAATATGAAAGTTGATTAATAATTTTCTACAGTTTCTAAACAGTAACATTTATAATATTGGAAAATCTGAGGTTAGGATACGAAACTGACGTAACATCGATACTCAGAAGCCAAAAATGAAATAACAGAACCGGCCAAATAAAATCAGAAAATGTGTAACCTATTGCTTACCAGTTTTTTGATGTTTAAAGATGAATTAATAGACAAAAACCAGTTTACCATCTTTCCATCGTAAAAAAGTTTTTGAAATGCATATATTTGATAAATAACAAATAATTGCATAAGTTGTTTTGAAAAAAATAAGATTCAAAATGGGATGTGACGTTTTTCTTTTACTCAAAAGTATGTTAAAAAAAACTTTTTGCAGATATTTTTACAGTCGTCTTATGCAATTAACATTTCAATGATTTGCGGCTTCTATTCATTTGATTACTAATCAAATCCTCCAAACAACTGTTTAATCAACCATAATAAAAAGTCTATTTGACTATAAAATATTGATGATATTTTTGAAGTGTGGCCAATAAACTGAAAAATTGGATATTTTCAATGGCAGTTTTACTTATAATTGATTAACAGAGAAAACAAAAGTCGTAGAAAACTGTTTCTAAAATTGCATTGTTCCACCTTTGTTATTTGACCTACACATATCCCGTCAGTCTTTTGGAGAAAAATCAACAAACTATTGAAGTGTCAGAAAAAAGTGCTTGCACTTTTTGAAGTGAATTATCTATTTTATAAGCAAATGAGTCATTAACTGGGCTGTTGACGACTCCGCCGCATGCTGTCTTCGCCAAATTCTTTCTTTGACTTGTAAATATACTAATTTATCTTCTACTAGATTCTTTTTTTCAAGTAGAGCAAAACAAGCTTGGTCATTTTTTGTTGTTAAAAATATCAAGAATTTTGCAGTGAAAAATAGATGTTTAGCGAATTGAAGACGAAAAAGAGTTAAGAACGTTATAGCAATTGGGTTGGGCAGCTCTCTAATATACCAATTTTCAGTTAGAAAGCATTTACTTAGGAAATTAGCCTTGGAAAAACTGTTCTTGGTAGAGTATATAACAGGTTGGTTCAAGGCAGATACGACTATTTTAAAAACTTTGAAGAGGCAACAGT